ACGAAGCATTTAAGAAATATTGCAATGTTTTATTGTGTACCATTGTTTCATTGTTGAACATCTGACCCTACAGTCTGTCGGTTAAGTGAGTTATCAAAAAATACTTGACACGTATTTTTCACTTTTTCAAACTAATGAAAATTGAAAGAGAGAAATCGCGCCAAAGTTCAATAGAAATACCCCGTGACGTCAAAGCGTGCTTAATAGTGCAGCACTTTATGACGTCAAGCGGAACTTCAACGCATCATAACTTCGTAATTACTTGTTTGATTGTGAAATAAAAATATACGTGTCCAATATTTTTTGATAATGTAATTGACGGATCAGCAAGCTGAAGTGGCAGTGGGCTGGGCACATAGTACGCAGAACTGACGGCCGATGGGGCAGCAAGGTTCTGGAATGGAGGCCACGTACCGGAAAACGCAGCGTGGGACGTCCACCCACAAGGTGGACCGATGACCTGATAAAGGTAGCGGGAAGGCGCTGGATGCAGGCCGCTACCAACCGTGCGATGTGGAAGTCATTGGGGGAGGCCTATGTTCAGCAGTGGACGTCCTGTGGCTGAAATGATGATGATGATGATGATGAATTGACGGATTAACAATTTTTTTTTAGGTAACTAGCCTTTTGGCGAGTACCCTACCATTTGTTCTATTTAATTTATTTCTTATTCTTTCTATTTCTTCGCCCAGACAACTGTTCGCTTCCTACTGCGCTGCTTGCGGTGGCGCGTTGGGAACGGCTCTGTACCTCAACAGCAAAGTTAAGGTAAGCTAGAAGTAAGTCATCATCATCGGTCATTTGGTCTCCACTGAAGGAGTACGACTCTCTATTTACCAGCGCGGTACCACTGGCTGGCTAGACGGGTTAGGAAAGCAGCAATGGTTTCAGTCTTTAGCTTAAGATTGTAGGTATACTAATGACCGTTTTCACCGTCAATCCCTAATTTTAAGTGACCCCTACGGTAACACTTAACAGGAATTTTGTTTTCATAGGGGTCACTTAAACATTATGGATTGATGGTGAATACGGGCATAAGCCCTCTTGATAATAAAAAGTTACACCCTAGTTGAACTCATTTCTATACGGGGAGGAATTTTTTCGTCACGTAAAAATATTGCGAGACTTGTGACAACTCTGTTACGTTGGTTACGTCTAATAATCTCTCAACTACCGTCGGAAATTAAAATCAAATGAAATCGTATCATTTATTTATTTAAAAAAAAAAAAAAAAAATTACTTTTACATTTCAGAAGTTATGACTACTACTCACTACTCATTATGCTGTCTCTATATTTATCTCTAGTTTTGACAAACGGATACAATATTCGTGAAGAGGTATACAAGATTTTTCTTGTTTTACAAAAACATGAAAACTTTAGAGTTAACTCTTAACCTGAGCTCTCTACATGCATCAAATTTGCATGTCATTGAATGGAAACATACAACACAACACAATTACTTTGTGTTTTTACAACTATCTATAAACCTAACTTCAAACAGGATCTTTAACTCTCACATTTACCGACACGGCATTCGAACCCACGACTACCAGGCGTTAGAGGCCGAGTATACGAACTACTATGTCAAGTGGACGATATATGTATACCTCTGAAATCATCAATAAGTAGATAGATTATTTATCTCAATTCAAAGGCACAGTTCATTAAAAATGATCGATAATACTAAAATTGTAATAGTATAATGATTTATCGCAAGAAAACAAGATTAAGTAGGTACTTATTTAAAAATGACATCTTAAAAATAGCTCGTAAAATATTTTCCTATATTCTTAACCAAAATAACATCCATGTACTACAATACTACATGATGCAATGAATACCTATATGAATTAATTATGATTAAGACGTAACCTTTGCCACAAAATAAGATTATAGCATGTAAGTATCTGTAGTTTGCGGGGAGTCTTAGGTATAAGTAGGTATTTAGTTTTTGACTGACTTGATTTTTTTACCTTGTTACAAAAGTTTGAACTATAGACAGCACAATATGGCTACTTGACACAGGATTTTTTTTTTGCAAAAGTGCACCTATGTATTAGAACTTTAAGACGTTAAGACTTGAATCTTTTTTTTTTCTAAGTATGGTGCGTTCATCAGTAATTCACGACTTCCTATAAATGCTAGAAAATTACCGAGTTCATCTATCCATTATTACTTCAGTAAACTTGTACATTATGTTTCTTTTTTCCAATTTTTTACCCGACGAAGTAACCTTAATAAATCCACCAAATTGTTTTCGTGTTACACCAGCTGAATAAAGAACGCAATGTGTTATCACAAAATGCTGTAATAAATCAAATATCGCAATAACGCTGTTATCTACATAATACTATCATATCATTATTTTTCAAGTTTACGTAACGTAAATATGCGGCTATCTCATTATCACCCTACGTCATGGAACTTACGGAGGTGTGTCGGGTGTTTGGCACGATGATGGAGTGTGGATTCAGTAATATACCCACCATAACATATTATAACACCAGTACCTCTAGCACGAAACACTTTCGACTTCAAATCGTTTGCGTAAGTATTCGAATCGCCATCAAAAGATTTAGTACGGAAATGAGAAATGGTTGCACGAAACTTATTTTGACAATCAAAATTGTCACGTTATCGTATAATTCGAAGGTTGAGTATCTAATTTTGTCGAATACGCAAACGATTAAGTTAATAATAATAAATACTAAAACCTTGGGGGAGGCCTTTGTCCAGCAGTGGACGTCATTTGGCTGAGACGACGACGACGACTAAATAAGGCTCTATAGAGGGAAGGTCAAGTTTGTCTCGGGGGCAAGTTAAACTGCCATTGGACCCGAAGTTCGAAGTCAAGGTTCGACTTCGAACTCCTCCTATGTTCTTCTGATTGATTTTGTTGCGGGTCCAATGGCAGTTTAACTTGCCCCCGAGACAAACTTGACCTTCACTGGTTGGGTTTTTATTGGCGGTTAAGGTAGATCCTAGCTACTACACAGGAGTTGCAGCGGTGAGAATAGTCTCTTGTTATTACATCTTGGTTGCAAAATACCACCTTTTATAGGATAAATAAGATGATGCCAGGGAGTAGCTTCATGTGCTGTCACTCCTAGTCTTTTCATGACCAAAAGTAACCCATAACTTTTGTCACGCACAATTTCATCATCTTAGCCATGGGACGTCCACTGCTGAACATAGGCCTCCCCCAATGCTTTCAATGTTGCCCGGTTGGTAGCGGCCTGCGTCCAGCGGCTTTCTGCTACCTTTATGATGTCGGTCCACCTTGTGGGTGGACGTCCACGCTGTGTTTCCCGGTTCTACGTTTCACGCACAATTTACTTGATCGTATTTGTATATTTCCTTTCAGAATTCAAAATTCATAACTTTTTAACCACTATGCGGAAAAAATAGGGACGATATCCAACACCTGTGTTCTGAAAATATAGTGCAGGTATTGCAAGAGACAAAATCTTGCTGCAATACAGATAACCTGGCTAGAAGGCATAATAATTATGATGATGACAGAATGTCACTGTCCTCATTTTTATTCATTATTTTATCGCCACGCAACTTATATCAGAAATATGTCAAAAGGTCACTCATAATATGTCGCAATTACTTATAGTTGTTATCGATATAAATAAGTATTGTATCTTTTATTATTTGTCAAGTGCGATGACCTAATGCTGCCATGTGCCCGGTCAAATACCTACCTACAGTCATGACAAATCAAGGCTAGACCTTCTTTCTTTATCCCGGAGATCGCGATTTTGAAGTCGATTCAACTGAAGTCAATCCGTAGGTCCTGGGTTCGATTCCCAAATTGAAGAAACGTTTTGCATACTTACCTACTGCCTACTAAGTATGTAAGTGTTCCTAGTTTGGTTGACATCAACTTATTTCTGCAAAAAGAAATAATGCGTATAAGAGCAACGTATGTCGTTGTAAAGGTAGCAGGCCGGCCGCTATCGACCGGGTAACATGGAAAGCATTGGGGAAGGCCTATGTTCAGCAGTGGACGTCCTATGGCTAAGATGATGATGATGATGATGAGAGCAAGGTATAAGTTGTTGGTCTGATTCAGACAATAAAAATGAAGTCTGACTGACACGAGAGTGACAATCTTAATGATGACCAAAAAACGAAAGAACCGTTCATAACTGTTATTATTCACCTGCAATTCGCGCTGCATAAATATTTCCAATTCTAACCCGTGATTGATATGCAATTGACCCTCATAATATGAAACAATTGCCCCAAGTGGTAGTTTGACATGTTTATAAACCAAGAACGACTTCGATTATTTCAAAACATTTTTAACTTCTTAGGGTTTTTCAAAGCAAGTGATCCATTTTCACACTATTTATACGACTACGTATCTTCTTTAAGTAGATATGTTTTATTTTATAATAAAAATTTTAAACCTTTTTATCAACAAGATCTTTCGCATCATAAAAATATAATTTTCGAGCAGAGACAAAACTATAAAGAACTCAATCTTTTTTATCTAAGTGAGACTCGAAGAAGAAAAAACTAAAACCCAATCTTATTGCGCGCATAACATAGCGATTCCTCAATTGGAGATGATTTCAAGCCGTTTATCTAAGATATATATTTATTTTTCTTAAAAATAGAAAGTATAAAGTTTTAATAGCATTTTTTATTGTTTTATTCAAAGACAAATATGACGAGATGGGTTAAACCTCCTTCAACAGTTTATTCATTGTGCAAAGAGATCACGTCACGACGCTACGTTGGTAGGCTTTGTAGACACGCGCTTATTTACGCAAACTCGCAAGTGTTAATGGACATTGCATGAGCCATCTTTGTGCTAAATTAGAAAATACAACCTTTTATGATAGTTTGCACACCTCCAGACAAACCACCAACGAACAACTATACCTACTACACAAAATAGAATCTATCTTTGAACTTCATATTTTGAGAAAACTGGAATCCAGATTAAATGAAAAACCTTAAACTAAGCCTAAGTCCTTATTAGTTTCTGAAACATCGTGATGTCAAAGGTCTCCAATATGGACGAGATGTTATTATTATTTATTTAGATATTCGTTGTACAACGCTAAAACATTTCATCCCTAATCATATTTTCCCAATATAAAATGGTTTTATTGCTTTATTTTCCAGAAAATGAAGAATCCCATGTACGCGCGGTTCGTGCCATTCGCAGCCGTGTGCGGCGCCAACTTTATCAACATCCCCATGATGAGGAGCAGGTAAGAAATCTCTATAAGGCCTCAGCCTCGAACTTAGCGGGCAGCGGGGCGGCGGCGGCGGCGGCGCGGGAGCGGCAGGATCTTATGCGTAAAATCAAATAGACCGGTTCTCGAAAACAGCGGCGCGGCAGCGGCGCCGGAGCGGGCAACGAGCGGGCAGCGGCGAGGGAGCGGGCAACAAGCGGGCAGCGCACTCCTTCTTTTGCCCACAATAAATCGAGCGTTAGGAATAAATTTGAATCGAAATAAAATTGTCGCCGTTGTTCAGACATTTCGTTTGCGAATAAAAACAAATATCTCGACAACACAACCCCGAACACAACACTTCGCCGCTAAAGCGCCGCGCGAGCTGCCCGCTGGTTTCGAGAACGGGTCTGCGTTGCCCGCCCCGCTCCCGCGCCGCCGCCGCCGCCGCCCCGCTGCCCGCTAAGTTCGAGGTTGAGGCCTAATACTTTATGGTGAAGGAATGAATCTCAAAGACCCAAAACCTTTGCATAAGTGCTACTTAAACGTTCTTAGAGCGAAGAAACAAATCGTGGCGCGTTGTGGTCATAATAATACAGCCCATATTGTTAAAGTCGTGTTAAGGCGCTTTTGAAAAAGCTCATGTATCGACGGAAAGGAGAACCGTGATTTGTTGAGTTCTCGTTTGCTAAACATAATATTTATTGACATTCAAATTCAATAATTTATTTGCTAGAATACATATCACATGCTCGTTTTACATGCATTGCATGTTGTTGGACAAAAAAGTTGGTATAGAGTTGTGTTTTGTACCTAACTGTTATAGGTACCTAAATTTGTCAAAGGCGCTGTTTTCACTGAAAAAGTTACACTCAACAATCGCCTTTTAATCTTACCTTTAAATCCCTGTTTACTCCAAAGTGAGATCCTGAACGGCACACCAGTTTTTACCGCGGATGGGCAGCGCGTGGGAGAGAGCAAGACAGCTGCCATGCGTGGCATCTCGCTCGTGTGCATCTCGCGAGTCATCATGGCGCTGCCCGGCATGAGTGAGTGGTCATTCATCATCATCATCATCATCATCATCATCATTTCAGCCATAGGACGTCCACTGCTGGACAAAGGCCTCCCCCAAGGTTTTCCACAATGAACGGTCCTGCGCTGCCCGCATCCAGGCTCTTCCTGCGACCTTTACCAGATCGTCGGTCCACCTAGTAGGAGGCCTGCCCACGCTACGTCTTCCAGCCCGTGGTCGCCACTCGAGGACTTTCCTGCCCCAACGGCCATCGTCTCTACGAGCTATGTGCCCCGCCCACTGCCACTTGATTTCATTCATCATCATCACCATCATTTCAGCCATAGGACGTCCACTGCTGAACATAGGCCTCCCCCAATGATTTCCACAATGGCCGGTTGGTGGCGGCCTGCATCCAGCGTCTTCCCGCTACCTTTATGAGGTCGTCGGTCTACCTTGTGGGTGGACGTCCTACGCTGCGCTTTCCGGTACGTGGTCATTAGAATATGAAAACTATAAGCGTATCCAGGGGAGTATTTTGGCCCAGGGGAGGGCATTCTGGTCCAGGGGTGGGCATTCTGGCCAAGGGGTGAGCATTCGGCCCAGGAGAGGCCATTCTGTCTCATGGGAGGCCATTCTGTCCCACGGGAGGGTATTCAGGCCCAGATGAGCGTATTTGGTATAGGGTAGGGTAGGCCATTGCTCATTCTGGCCCAAGGGAGGGCATTCGTTTGGTCCAGGGAATGGCACTTTGGCCCAGGGGAAGGCATTCTGGCCCAGGGGAGAGGGGCATTCTAGCCCGGAGGGATGGGGGTTCACACGCTATGACACTCACGGACTAAACTTACACTTGCAAGGCAATCAGATGAACTAATGCGTTTTCACCGACAAGCCCGAAATTTGTAAGTGTTAAATTTGAGGAACCACCTACTAGAATAGAACTACCCATGGGCTTGTCGATGAAAACGGGCAAGATTCACACTGAACAAGATTTTTGGTTACGGCTTACACAAAAAAGTGACAGGCGAACTAAGTGTCAACTCTATCCCCAACTAAGTCTAGCTCACTACAGAATTATTTGTTTAAATTACACAACATTTTGTTACTCATGACCAAAGTGTTCGGTGGTCACTTTTTTTGTGTAAGCAGTAACCAAACATTTTTTTCATGCAAAAAGGTTTTTCGGTATATTTACCGAACCTTCGTTTCTTTCCAGCTTTGACGCCACTCATAACCGCATACGCGACGCGCCGCGGCCTTTTCTGCCACTACCCGATGGCCGTCATCCCGTTCCAGTTGTTCCTAGTGGGACTCTGCGTGACATTTGCCACGCCACTATGCTGCGCTATATTCCCACAGCGAGCCGCCATCGATGTAGAGAGCTTGGAGCCTGAGTTGAAGGTCAGTAGGAGCCGCTTATTGCCGGTAACAAGAAGAAAAGTTCTCAAAACTGACGCATTTACTGTCACGAAGCAGTGCTAGTCTGTAGTTTCTGGTGGGACTCTATCTTCCCGCATCGTGCCGCCATTGATGCAGAGAGCTTGGAGCCTGAGTTGAAGGTCAGTAGCGTTTGACAGAAATGGAAATTCAGTATGCTTCGCCAGCACTGGATAATTTATAGCCGGTAACAAGAAGACTAGTCAGAAGTCCCCGCTGTTCGTCTGTCATCTTCTCGTCTTCGCTGTGCGATATTTCCCTGCGTGCTGCCCTTGATGTAGAAAGCTTGGGACTTCAGTTGAAGGTCAGTATGCTTTGACAGATCTAGAAATTACCTTAACTGTTCTGTTCTGCCGCTACCCGATGGCCGCCATCCCGTTCCAGCTGTTCCTAGTGGGACTCTGCGTGACATTTGCCACGCCATTATGCTGTGCTATATTCCCGCAGCGAGCCGCCATCGATGTAGAGAGCTTGGAGCCTGAGCTGAAGGTCAGTAGAGTTTGACAGTACTGGATATTGATAATAGACGGTAACAAGAAGAATAGTCAGAAGTCCCAGCTATTCATCTGTCACCTTCTCGTCTCCGCTGTACTATATTTCCCTAGCGTGCTGCCCTTGATGTAGAAAGCTTGGAACTTGAGTTGAAGGTCAGTAGTTTGACAGAGCTGGAAATTTAATTGACTGTTCTGCCACTACCCGATGGCCGTCATCCCGATCCAGCTGTTCCTAGTGGGACTCTGCGTGACATTTGCCACGCCATTATGCTGCGCTATATTCCCGCAGCGTGCCGCCATCGATGTAGAGAGCTTGGAGCCTGAGTTGAAGGTCAGTAGAGTTTGACAGTACTGGATCGGTAGTTGGATATACCTACTGTCCCCTAAGAATAAACTGGACAGCCATCATCCCGCTCCAGCTGTTCCTGACTGCGTGACAATATCGGACCTAGTTATACCAATATATTTTTGTTAAAAGTTATTTTCATGTATTTTTCCCAGCTCACTCAAGAGAGATAGTCTGATCTCCAAACGCTAGCCTTGTACTGTAACTATTTAGTATTTCGATTTAGGGTGACTTATAAGAGTAAACACTATCGATATTCGTATCATACGATACATAGCGATACTCGATTGTCTTTATCCTTCAATTGATGTCTTGTTCTCTTTTCACAGGCCAAAACGAAGTATAATTTCCCCAAAGCAAAAGAGCTGTACTACAACAAAGGGCTCTAAAGAAATCGAAGCTGGAACTTCGTGCCATAGACTATTCTAAGATGACTACTGCCCTTCTGTGACCGCAGGCCGCTCGCACACTTACGACTTTGTCGCACGCAACGATAGAAAAGTCGGGCGGGATCAAACAATATTGAGGCTTATATTATAAACGCCTAAAGAGTATTTCGCTCGTCTTTATTTCTGATAAATGAGCTTACGTCCAATAATTCCAAAACAAGGTTTTTTTGCTATGATGATGGCAGTATATTTAGCGAAATTATATTTATTAAAACTGCCGTTGTCCTATTTATTATTTGTCGTGAGTGTGTAGCGCGCCTTATTTGAACACTTGTTATATTGGCTATGCTATACACTAAGGTAAGCTATTTTAAGTGTTAGCCTAAAACAATTATAATAGTTCTCAATTATAATGATATGTTATATTAAATTATTCGTTAAACGGTTATTGATGTTGTTAATTTTAACATAAATGTTAGATTGTTAAGATTTCATGCAGGGCAAAGATTATCATAGACTTAATGTTATTATTCATTCCAATTTGTAAACTTCCATTCCATTTATTTCTTTAAAATATTGTATATTATTATTAATTTTCTGTATATTAGCTATTTTAACTATTTATAAGTTTTTGTATGTTGCGTTGATGTGTGATATTTTTTATGCTCAATATTTTTGGTTGTGATACACATTTTATGATCTGAGCAAATCCCGACTGCCCATATCTTTTGATAACTCCCATTTACAAAAATATGAATGTAATCAAATCGTGGCCATAAAATTATACGAGGAAGATGTCACGTTTGACATTGACATTTGCACCGTTTGACGTCGTCATAGACTAAAGAGCTCTAATGATTGTTTTAGAGATAACGTGCAATAATTCCAAAGATATTGTTTAGGCTATTGGAGAGTTTATAATAGTTGTAGTTGAACGGTTTAATCGAATATGCAAGTCCACTGTCAAAAAGTTAAAACAAAGATATTTTGAGATTTGAAATTTTAGGTCTAACGCTTAAGGCCCAGTTTTGTGATTCGTAGTTAAAATAACCAATAGTTAAATTTGACAGATGTCAAATGACAAGTGGTGAAATATCAGAAAAAAATGATTTTCGAACAATGGTTAGCTTGACTTTTAGTACATTTTTAACTATTAATTTACATTTTGTTCATATTTAACCATTACATAGTAGCAAAATTTAACAATTAGTTATTTTAACTATGAATCAAAAAACTGGGCCTAACTGGGTCATTGCTTGAGGTATAGGAGCGGCACGGGAGAATGTTTTTGAGATGTCATCAAGATTTCAAATGTGCGTCAGATTTGTACGCTCTGTCACGTCACAATATGTCAATTTCACACCTCTCTTGTTGCTCCCATAACTCGGCACTGACTGAGTTAGCTGAGTAGACTTATTATTCACAGTTTGACTATGACAATTTATTATTTACATAAAAATGTAATTCTGAAATGGTCAAACTAGTCAATTAATGTTTTTAATAGAAAAAGCGGGTAAAAGACAGTGGACTGGTCGCTAATTAGGTAAATGTCAATTGATGTACCTTCTGCCGTGACAATAACACTGGAAGTGACTTTATATGAACAATGTACAAAATAAAACGTACGAGTATTTCAAATTGTCTTTCATTTTGTTATCACTCCCTGTGTCCTTTCGACCTAAATTAAATGAATATAAAGTTTAAAATATGGTGACCGTATTGCCAAAGTCGCTTGTATAACGGTTTGAGAATATCTCAATTATTTCTAAAATAAAATAACTTCTTCTAATTATATCGTATATTAAAGATACATTACAAATTAATATTAATCTGTTTCCACTTTATTATTTACAATAAAATTACATATCAAGCTACACAAACCTATTTAGTCTTATTTGCGGCGTAGACAACTTAGTTTTTAGTCTATTCAATGAGTTCATCTACCTCGATTTAACTAATTATAAAGAAAATATATAGACATCTGTCGTCAATTAACTGTAAGTATAAAGAAAATAATACATAATACAGGATGTCCCAAAATTTGCACGTCACACTGACACCAGAGGTAAATGAGCTTAAGACGCATCTAACAAGTATATTAAGTCCATTTTTAAAAATAACTAATATAAGTCATAATTATTTCCTAACTAAATAAAATAAAAAAATAAAAATAAATAAAATAAACTCATCAAACTTTTCTATAGAAATGAATAAATAAAATTGGTCATATCTTAAAACTTATGAAACTTTTCTATGGACATATTAAGCTTGTTCGATGCATCTTAGACTCAGCTACCTCTAGTGTCAGTGTAACGTGCTAATTTTGAGACACCCTGTATAAATATTAACAATTTCCTGTCGAATATTCAACTACGAAATCAAAATGTGCGCACACCCTAATTTCAAGTCTATTCCACTTTGATCACCTGAATTTGATAACCCAGGTGAAGTGGACTCCAAACGACACTTTGGTGTCCTTTGATCACCGTAGCTAAAAAGTCCACTTTGATCACCTAGGTGATCAAATCCAGGTGATCAAAGTGGAATAGACCTAATTTCACTCTGTAATCTAATAAACTATAATAATTACACTTTAATTGCAACGAAATACTTCAACATATTTCACTAACTACGTGTAATGGTGAATATAACTTCCTATTCTGATAATACTAAAGCGTAACGGATGTGAAACGTTAATCGTATATGAACAGCTTCGATTATAACAGAGAAAAGATAACATTGCATTAGGTCACCAGTGGCGCCCACTATAGTCCAGTTTACTTTGAAATTATAGGTACAGTCAGTGTCAATTATTTCGTAATACCCAAAGTAGAATAGAGAACTTTTTATTTCCAAGAAAGGTGTACAAGCAGGCAAGACAGATACAAACAGAGAGAAATATACAAAGTAGTCAAAAAATTCGCAGCACGTCTTTGTTACAATTGGAATAAGGTTGTGTTATCAACTTTTTGGTCACTTTGGATGTCACGATCACGAAGTATTTCACGCTGACTTTACATAGCACATCAGTTGGTTCGTAAGGGCGTTTTTATTACGTCATAACGTCAGCAAAATTCAATCGTGTTTTAGACGTATGATGATTCGATTGTATTTACTTAGAGTAGGCACACACCGTTGATTTTTAGTTGGCCGATAGTTGTGCCCGATTTTAAATTGTATGAAGAATCGGCCAAATCGAATCGGCGTAGTGTGCGCACTCCCATACATGCCCATACTGATCAACTGCCCGACTAAACTATCGGCCGACGAAAAATCAACGGTGTGCGCCTACACTCTTAATGTAAGTCAATTATTATGAACAAAATAGCGCAGCTTTACAATCATAACTTTTATCCGATATTACGACACAAGGAGTTAAGTTCGCACTAGGTTCGATTCGAATCCGTGGAAATACGGTCCGGTGTATGGATTCGGATCGGATGTAGTGCGAAATCACTCTTAAATTTATTACTATCGTTCCCACTCACACTACTCGTCGTTATAAGTGATGTACGCGTTGAGATAGTCGCTCTGCGTCTCCAGGATCAGTTTGTGTGGGTTGGTGGGGAAAGGCGCGCTTACTGGGTCTACCGTGCTAACAGGTGCTGACGTGCCTTCTAGTTCCTGTAATAATATTAGTGTCTATAGATTTGAGTGTATGTAAAATATGTAAAGTCTAAAACTAAATGTAGCAATCATAAATTAACATAACTTTAAGAACAAGCACTTTTGTACGTCGCATGCGACAGAATATGCTGGAATTTATTAAATTAACACCCATCTGTAACCATGTTCTTGCAAATAAATGATTTTAATTTATTATTATTATTTGGTAAGGTCACCCGGGGCGAAAGCAACTATGAGGCCAAAGTGACTCATTGGTTTTATTCTACACTACTTTCAGTAAGTTAGTACTTTACTGCAGTGGCCCACTATTTTCTATATTCGTGTTGTGTTTACTGTGATCAATAAAGTCTATTCTATTCTATTATTAATCAGATGGATTTTGAACAAAGTGTCTTGAAGCATAGAGCAATCATTGCTTTTTTATGCTTCAACAGATGACAGCTTGTTCAAACAAAGTTGCTTTCGCCCCGGGTGATCTTATAAAAATTAGGGAAACTTGATCCTTCACTTGTACACACGCTCACACTGTTAACTATCCATTTCCGTTTTTGCTCTCGCTCTAATCAAATGGCGATTCTTGGCGATAGAACGAGATGACATGACTTTCAATGGGCAGTTAACACTGTTGGCGATAGTACGTTAAAACACTACGCAGCGTCTTTATATCCTTGGGAAAACCCTTTGTTCATAGAATAAAATAGTGGATATTTCGATTAAAGGTAGGTCGGCGTCGCTTGCGGCTCTTCTTGTCAACGCATATATATACATATGTATATGTCAACGTGAAATTGTGAACTCTGTCAGTTTATAATATAACGCATTAGATTGTAAGCTAACAGTGGGTTAGGTTAGATTGTAATTTAACTACGTCAGATTATAATTTGACGGAATTCACAATTTTACGGTGACATCTACAGACAGGAATAGTCGTTGAAAATTCTAGGAGGCCTTTGTCCACCAGTCTGGTCGTTTAGACGTCGTCGTCGTGAGCGCTTTTCAGCTGAAATATATCCTTTTCAGTTGAGGATAAGTTACCTTCCGTCGCTTGCGGTTCTTCTTGTCCCAGGGCGCGTAGGGTATCTTGAGGTGCACGGTCTGGATGTGCAGCTTGACGGCGCTGCTCTGCGTGAAGCGCCGGTGGCAGTGCTGGCACTGGTAGCGCTTCTCGCCCGTGTGCACCTGGAATTACGTTATTTATTATACTTCTTGCAACTTGTAGTGTATGTATATCGATGTAGGTACTAACTACGGGAGCAAATTGATAACACGGTGGTCCGCAACTGACTGGTTTATTTAGAAAAGAAACGCAGCGCGTCGACACTCGATACAATATAGATGCGTAGGTATTCGCTGGGTGCGAAGTACTAGGTGGGGGTAACATAATCTATCGCAGCGCTCATGGTGGTCAAAAGTAGAAATAATGTAAGCTCTGTCATCAGATGTATCTGTCAATGGCAAAGCGATTCTACATAGTNAACGTGGTAGTACAAAAATGAGTCACAGTAGTTGTTGTGCACAGATGTTTGCCTTATGATGAGAGCGTGAATTATTGAACTCTGCCCTTGTTTTGTTCCTAATTCTTCTACATCTCGGACTTGTCCAGCCAATACCAACAACTTTCCTTTAAATACGGTTTGTGGTTGGAATTTGATATTGTAACTCTCACAAACCCGGTCTTCAAAACAATACTCATTTCGATCTGAAAACGATATTTAATTTATTACTAGCGATACAGGAACATTTAAATATATTTACTGTTATATAATGAAACCGTTAAAGTAGCTTTTTCTTTTTGTTTTACTGTAAAACTACAACTATAAATGAAGTAAACAAACCCTGACACAATCAAACTTAAACACACTTTTTGGACTTACTTCATCTGATTTGAATGACCAAAATTATTTCAAAACCTTTTTTCCACCCAAATCGTGGTATCACAACAATTTATTAGTTGAAAATATTTGTTATTTTTTCATTTCGATATTTTTTCACAAATATACGACCTAAATGTCAATGTGACAGAGCCCACAAAGTTGTGGACGCTAGTTGGCGCTGTAATCGTGCACAGAGCCAATAGCTATAGCATGAATACATCACACAACTCACGAAGGCAAGTGAGCTTTACTTGTGTGTGTACGTGTACATGCACATAACGATAGTGTAATGTCTGTCAAAACTTTTGAAAAACGAACAGTAGCGAGTCACCAACTATATAAAACTATACCCATTGCTTATATTTTTTCCAGTTACTTGCATCACACCAGTTATTTTGACCTCATATAAAACACGCCAGATATTTGGACCCCATGTTACAAACCAGTTACTGGACTTCATGTATCACACCAGTTACTTGGGCCCCTTATCACGCTAGTTACTTGGACCCAATGTATCACGCCAGTTACTTAAACCTTAGTATCACATAAATTATACTTAGACTCCATGTATCACAAGATACATTTGTCAAGAAAAATATCTAGTCTTCCGCTTTGCAATGGAGGGAAGTCGAACCTTAATTTCGAACTCCTCCTATGTTCTTCTGATTAATTTCGTTGCGGGTCCCAATGACAGTTTAACTTTCCCCCGGGTCAAACTTGACCTTCATTGGTTGGGTTTTTATTGGCGGTCAAGCTGTAGATCCTGGCTACACAGGAGTTGCAGTGGTGGGAACGAGAGATGGGAATAGTCCCGTAAGATACATTGGTATCACACTAGTTACTTGAATGACCTCATGTATCACCCGTTACTTGGACACCAAGTATTACACCAGTTCCTTGGGGGACCCTAGTATCACAATAGTTATTTGATCTCCATGAGCTCACTGGTGTGATACGTATTACACCAATTATTAAAATGGTTAAAAGTTTCCTAAAATGTTTGTCTACATAGTTTATACACTGATTGTTTTCCTTGTAAAATAAAATTACTATTATTTTTCGTATACTCACGACGATGTGCCGGTCGCGGTTGCTAGGCATGGAGAAGCGGCGGTCGCAGTGCGGACACTCGTAGGGCCGCTCGCGCGTGATCGCACGTGACTACGTTTCTTTATTGTATCCTAGTAGTTACTCATATCTTACCAGTTACTCATATCTTCGTATACTCACAACAATGTGCCGGTCGCGGTTACTGGGCATGGAGAAGCGGCGGTCGCAGTGCGGACACTCGTAGGGCCGCTCGCGCGTGTGAGTTCTCATGTGCACCATCAAGTTGGCGTATTGCTGGAATTATAATAAACATTATAGGTCTTCCATGCCTTGCGAGAAAAAAAGGAACCGTTATTTCGTTATAGATTAGGTCTAGCTAACATGAGGCAGGAAATGTAACTCGAAAAGAACAGAGGCATAGATATTAACTGGATCCAGTTGGTAACCTTTCCTTTTAAAAAATACTACTTATAAGGGCATTCGCGAATATCCCCTGTCACTCTGGTACACTTGTTTTTGGTATCTGGTATGAGAGCTAAAGGCCTAGGTAAATTACATTGATTTGCTGTATAATTAAATGCAATAACATCGGGGACACAGAGCGTCAACGGTGCCTGAAAAAATCGCGTTGTCCATTAAGGCGATTAGTGTCCTCAATCCGCGTGAAATGGTCATTTTGTAAAGCCTACTCCTCTTTTACTGCTGGACAGAAATAGTTGAAAAAAATATATGTTATACAACAGTTCAAGG